AACCTCCGCGTTTAGTGCAAAATCCCCACCCAGCATACCATGTTGCCAGACCTCTGCTTGCATGCCCCCAGGGACAGGGAGCTCACTATCCCTCATGATGGACAGGCATCTGTCCCCCCCTAGAATCTCTTATTCCCTGGGCTTAGCTCCGCTCTCTGGGCATGCAAATGCTGCGTGTCTTTGTCAGGGACCTAAAGTCGCGACCAGGCCTTTCGAGGCTTCCCCGGGGAACATGGGTGCTAGGTCCGCCTCTTCCTGTGGGCAGATTTCATGTTATCACAGACCTTCTAGCCGGGACCTAGATGCCCGGGCGTGGCTTTCTGGAAGTGGCTGCACTGGCTCCAGAGCTGAAGCAGCTGGTTCACGCAGCCTCTGTGTCTGCTGCTCGCACCTGCCCGGAGGCCCTGGCCTCTGTGCGTAGTGGCCCTTGGAGCTCCCACGGAGCTTCCCCGGGCTCTGGTAATGCCTGGATACTGTGGCCCATTCCTGGGGCACGTGGAGGGCTTGGTCGGGGGACCCTGCCTCCCTAACTGGCCCCTCTTGGGCTGGACCTACCTCCAAGCTTCCATCCTAGTCCCTGCCAGAAAAATTAAAAAAAGAAAGAAAGAAAAATTGTCGCCGGCAGAGCCAAGGGCCAGCCCTGCCAGTGTGGCGGCGAATCCTCCCCCGGAGCCAGCGTGACCCGGGCCCCCAGGTTCGTAGCTGAGCCCCGAGGCAGCCAGCCCACAGCTGGGGCCTCCTCCGTGAGGAGCCGGAGGGCCTCGCCCCTGGCCGGCCGGAGCATCATCCTTCTGAACAGCTGAGGGAGGACTTGCAGTTATGCTGCAGGATTCTTCGGGAGGTGAACTCAAGGGTGCTGCTGTCTTGCCTGGGCTCTGCGCAGCCCTTCTGGAGTTTCTATCACACTGGATGGAAGCTGCCCCATCTAAGCCCAAACTGGCTTTTTTAACCCGTCGTTTTAAAACAAAAGGGGAAGGATGCTAATATTTATAAAAATGCCACTTCTTGACATATCTCATTTCACCGACTCTTCATCACAGCCTTGTGTGGGGGATGAGGGCGAGGGAGCCGAGCCTGGGGGAGCAGAAGGTCCTGGGGGCCCAGGTGGAGCCAGGACGTAGAAGTGGGCCTGGGCTCTGGCTCTGGCTCAGCTCCCTTCCTGGGTGGGGCCTGCTCTGGGCCAGCCCCCTGGCGCCCTCTCCCGTCCAGCCCTGTCCTGTCTTTTGGGACAGTCTCGCCAGCGATCTCCTCCCCGCACCACGCATAGGCCCCAGGAGGGAGCAGGGGCTCTGGAATCAGAGGCGGCAGGGGCAGGGGCGTGGGAGGCCGGGATGGCCCGTGCTGGGTGCTGGGTGTGGGGCGATGGTGAAGGAAGGACACGTGTGTGCTAGAAGACGGGAGATCCCTGCCTCCTCTCCTTATCCCACTGTCACACCTGCCACCCGCCCAGGAGCCGGCTCTCACTGTCCCCAGCGGCCCGCCCCGCCACCCGCGGGGCACTGGGCCCTCCCGGCTGCTCCTATAAGGCCAGTCTCCACCCAGCAGCCCGGGAACTTTGCACCCCGAGGAGGCCGGCCCCCCACCTCCCTGGCGACCTTTCATCACCCGGGCCCTGGCCCGGAGGCCCTGCTCCCTCCGCAGCCGCATCTCCCATAGTTGTGCCCACGTCCCCCGCCGGGCCCCCCACCGGGTCCCCCTCCTGCCTGCTGCTCCCCAGAGCACCGGCCTCCCACCCACCTCTGCCCGGCTCCTCCTGCTGCTCAAGGAGAGCCTGGCTCCCTACCCTCTAGGTGTGAGTTCAGGTGCAGCGTCGCCCAGGTAGGGTGGTCCCCAGCCCTGCCCCAGGGCCCCGCCCTCACGTCCCCTGGTTTGATGATCTTAGTTGTACCTGCTGCTCTTTGCGGTAGGTCACCTGCCTTGCTTGTCTGCTTGTCCTCTGTGCCCCCTCCCGTGGGAGCGTCAGACCTGTCTGCTTTGTAGCCCAGAGCCCTCAGCACCTGGCATACAGCCTGCACACAGTACGTGCTCAATAAGTCAGGAAGAAGAAATGGAAACTCGGGATCACGTGAAGGAGAAATAGCAGATGATACAGTTGTGGGTATCGTAGCAGCTCGGGGTGTAACACTCGTGTGCGCGTGAGTGTGTGAGGGTGGCTGGGGGTCATCTGCTCCTCTAACGAGAGGGCCGGGCCCAGCCCGGAGCACTGCGTGCATGGGGGCACACGCATGCAGACATGCTTCGCTGCCCGGGAGCCCTGTAACCTCGTGCCTGCCAGGCCCAGTCGCCTCCCCTGAGGGACAGGGCTGCTGGATGCCCTGTGAAGGGACCCACGGGCAGCGACCCGCCGGCCTGCCGCACCGGCTGGAAGGTGATTGTTGCAGTCCTCTCCGCAGGGGGCTGCTTCCCCGCTGTCTCGCCCAGCAGTGGGGGGGGGGGGCGGGGTCAGGGCGCTGGAAACGGGCAGGAAAGCCTGGAGACCCGAGCTTTGCTGCTGGGAGCTGGATTATGTTCACGTAATCGGTGGCTCGGATGCCTCAGGAGCTTGACCTTGCGAGATGTTCATTTTTGTGCGTGTGCTTGTTTTTGAAAGAAGAATTTTGAGACATTCATTTCTTGAAACGTTTTCTTTCGAATCGAAAGAATTTTTATGAAATTTAAAACGGAAAACACACACACACAGACTTGTATTTACAACAACCCAAGGCAACAAATCTTCCCTTTCTGCCTCCTTGCCCTTTTCCTGGAACCTTGGAGAACATGTGGGGAGTACAGGGGGCTCTGGACCTTAGGCGAGCGGCTTCCTCTATGCCTCGGTCTCCTCATCCAAAAATAATAACAACAACAAGGGCATCACGCTCGCTCCCTCCCCGGTTCCCGTGCAGATTGCACGAGGCAGCGTTCCCCCGCACTGCGGGCGCTTAGGAGGAGTTTGTTAAATCAGAGGAGTAAATAAATAGGAAGGAAGGGGCTCCCAGGAGGCCCCCACGGCACGGAGAGGCAGCAGTGGAAGCCTGTCCTTCAGGTTACGACTCCAGAGCTCACGCCCCGACTGCCCTCACTCCCCGTGTCCCAGGAGCACGTGTGGCTTCTCTGCTTCAGCTCCTCCATCCACAAGATGGTTTTGTCATCTGCCACCGGCGACGCTGCGGGTGTGCGTGGGCTCCGTGAGCACAGGGCCCCGGACGCCGCTGTCGCCCAGGCCCCACCCTCCCCCATCTTCCCCACTTTCTTGCTCAGCATCATTATAACTCGGGACGCCCGGGTGGCTCGGCAATTGAGCGTCTGCCTTAGGCTCGGGGCATGATCCCAGGTCCCGGGATCGAGTCCTGCATCTGGCTCGCTGCGTGGAGCCTGCTTCTCCCTCTGCCTGGGTCTCTGGCTCCCTCTCTCTGCATTTCATGAATAAACAAATAAGATCTTTAAAAAAATGCATCATTGTAGCTCCGTGTTGCTACCAGTCTCCATGTTCGTCATTTTTAACGGCCGCGTAATATTCCATCGGACAGAGGTGTCCTGATGCGCTTCCTCATCTCTGATGCGGGGTGGGTGGTGATTTCCCCAGGCAACTTCATGGATACCAACCGAGGCTGCTTTCTCGGGGGGCGCCGAGGGCCAGGCCAGTGGCAGTGGCCGGGAGGGTGGCCTGTAGCCTACTCCAGGAGCGGCAGCAGGGGTAGTGGGGCAGTGACACGGCCAGTGTGAAGGCACTGAGCATGGTGGGAAAAGCAGTGCATCGGGTGTGACGGTGACAAGCGTCTGGCCTGGACAACCTAGGTCACGTGGGGGGCGGGCAGGAGCTCCACCGGGAGCCGGAGCAGCAAGGCTCTGGTCTTGCCTTTGTGTCTCTGTCACTCGCCCACACGCCCTGCGTGACCTTGAGCAAATCCCTTCCTCTCTGTGGACTCAGGGGCTTGGCTGGGGCTGTGCTGTCTCCTCTGGTGGCTACTAAGCCACCTGTGGCTATTTTGATTTAAATAGAAATTAATTAAGATTTTTAAATCACTTTCGTAGTCACGGTGTCCACGGTTCAGAATCCAGTCGTGGCTGGTGGCTGCCACACTGGGCATTATGGGTATAGAACATTCCCGTTGCTGCAGAAGGCTCTACTGGACTGTGCTGGTCAAGAGACATTTCCAGAAACCCTGTCAGCCCTCGTGTGCTATGGTTCAGGATCTCATGTCATCATGCCAAGAAGGGCCAGCAGCCCAGAGCTCAGAGGACTCATTAGGAGCCTAAAACAAGGCTTAGTGACCTTGCACAGGCCAGGACCTCTGGTAGCGTCCAGAGTCTGAAATACCCACCCCTGTTTCTCTCTCCAGAGGTCCCAGGGTGGCCTCCGAGAGAAGCTGGGCAAGAGTCTGGGTCCTGGGAGGGTAGCCCCAGCTAAGGTCGGTGCCCAGGGGAGGCTGGCATACGGACGGGGTAGGGGGTCTCCCGGCTGGGGGCAGCCCTAGGTGTCACCGGTTCCCTCGGGGTGCCTTGTCCTCTCTAGGACTCCTTTGGGGGGTGTGGCCTAGAGAGCAGAAGGACTGCCGCCTCGCTCGCCGCCTTGCGCTGCTCTGGCTGCCTCCAGCCCTAGGCCGGCGCCGGGCACTTGCTGGGAGAGGAGCCCGCAGCACGAGGGTGAAGCTGCGTCTCCCCAGCAGCAGGTGCATGTGCTCTGGCGACCCAGGGTTTTGACCACACCTGCCCCCGCCTCTCCCTCCCTGTCGGAGGAGCCCCCCCCCCCGTAGTTTCTTTTCTGCAGCCTGGAGGTGCGGCAGGGGGAGGAGAGGTGCCTGGGCTGGGGTGCAGTGAACAGGGGGAAGCAGAGGCGGGATGTGAGGGTGTGCAGAGGAGCTCAGCTGGCTTTGGTCTCACCTTTGCCAAAGTAGCTGCCTTCACCCTGCCCCTGTGCCCACGGGCTCCTCTGTCCCACTATGAGCCCTACTGCTCACCCTTGTTTCTCCTGTTTTCCAGGGATCCCGTGGCCATGTCCCAGCTGCCTTGAGCCTGTGAGGCCACTCAGCCTCCCACCTGCATCTACAGGGCTCTCCCCCCGTCCAGCCCCTGGACCAGCTTCCAAGCCTACCCCCCACCCCAGCCTGGGGGCTCCGCAAGCTTCAGGACTCCGAGGGGCTCAGTAGCAGTCACGGTAGGTGGCATCCTCACTCTGCTCACTCCCTGGCTCCTGGGGATACTCAGCTGGGCTTTCGTGGTCTCTGGAATAAGAAGGAAACCTTTATGAACTCGGTCTCTGTCAGAATTCCCTTGGTTGCAATGGCAAAAAAAAACCCATTTGGATAAAATAAAATTAGCAGCTCACATAACTGAAGGGTTCAGAGGTAGGTTGGACTTCAGGCAGGGCTTGATCCAGTGGCTCGAACAATGTGACCAGGACCTGTTTTCTGTCTGTATTTCTCTGCTTCTTGTCCTGGGTGATGGCTCCGCTATTGGGAGCCATGGCACATGACATGGTCACCGATGTCCACCAAGAGTTTCTGAGGCAACATGCTCCCAGGTTAAAATCTGGGGTCAGGGCTGGAGATGAATTCTGCTTTCTTGATGGAACAAACAGAGGTCCTGGGGTTGATCTCTTGGGCCCGATTGGATCCCTGTTTGGATCGTCCTGACCCTTTAACAGGGTCCACAGGTCCTGGAAACCTAAAAGGACTGGGGGTCAGGGCCCGTCCCTCCCCAACCGTGTGACCGGGAGTGAAGGGAGGGTGTTCTCCAAAGGAAGCTTGGAGTCTAGCTGCAGAAGGAGTCACCCCCGATTGAGGGAAGCAAGTGACAAATGAGCGGTGGAGTCTGTCTGGCTTGGACAGCTGGACGCCAGTCCCAGGTAGATGCTGACGTGCTGCGCATCCTTGGGCAAATCCCTGCGCCTCCCTGAGCCTCGGTTTCCTGATCTGATGATGACCCCACCGGGCAGGGATGCTTCGAGAGCTACTCGAAATGATCTGTGCGAAGCGCTGGCGTCTGGCAGGTGCTCCGTAAATCCTTGTCCTCGTCTCCCGTTTCCAGGGAGCTGGGAACATCCTGTTCTCTTCAAACTTGGAAGGAGCCGCAGAGCAAGTATTGCCAGTTGGGATCCCCGGAAGGGGGAAGAGCAGGAATGGGGTAGGAATGAGCCCCGTGAGTGAGGTCGTGGTCTCAGGGAGCGTAGCCTCGGGCTGATCCCTGGGTTCATACCACAGAACTGCCAGCCCCGCAGACAAGGTGACCCCGAGCTGGGCTGCCCAGCCTGGGGTCTGCTCACAGGATGGATCGTTGTCCCCTCCTCTCCAGAAGCTTTTCCCACCCCAGGCCTCCTCGTCCTCCCTCTGCTCCCCGCCTCTCCCCACAGCCTTCAGCCTCAGCCATGTGGTCCTCCCGCCTCCTATGCCCCTTCTTGCTCTCCGCATCCTCCTTCAGGGCCTGTGTGGGTCCCTCCCTTTCCAGGAGGCCTCTGCTTACTGCCCCGGCCACTGTCTGTCTCCTTGAATCCTTCCTCGGCTGCACCCTTCCGACAGATGGGGAGGCACGTCCCCGTGAATACTCTGTGGGTTCCAGCAGTGGTGCCGAAGCGTGTTGCTCTCTTTGCCTTGGCTGCCAGGAAGCAGGTGGCTGGTTTGTGGCCCACGTCTTGTTAGGGCTCAGAGTGCTGCCACGTGGTCGCTCAGTAACCTTACCTCTGGCCTCCTCTGTCTCATTTTCTCCTTCTGATTTCTTAATTTTCAGCTTGTGCTGTTCTTAGTAGCCTCAGACTCTTTTCGGGGAAGGTGGGGTCTAAATTACAAATAACCAAGAGTGGCCTGGGTTAAAGCTCTCAGCCGGATGCCAGGCTTTGCCCTTCCCGAAGGCAGCTGGGGTGGGAGGGTCTCCCCCAGAGCCCGGGCTGAGCCTGTCCCCAGGGAGACACAGAGGCCTGACCGTGGCAACCGGGGGGGAAGTGCCCACCCTGCCCTCTGTGGGTCACGAATGACATTGTTCTGTTTCCCGCCCAGCTCCCTCCCCGCTTCTCATCTTATCAGAAGCTAATGAAAGAGGCTGGGAAACCCAATCCTCTGGTAATTAAATTTACTTAACGGGTATTCAAGTGGAGTAATGAGAAGTTTAATGCAGTGATTAGATTTTTCTTTAATTAATTAAAATGAGAACCATGTGTCTTGCCAGCAAACCAACTTGACCCTCTGCTTGAGAGTAGCGGGCAGAGAGGGTGGGGGGCTTGGCGTTGCAGGTGGGGGAGGAGGGGTGGCCGCAGCCCCCTGCCCTGGCGGTCTTGGGAGGAAGCCTAGCTCTGGTGCCCACCCAGGGCGGCCTCCGATGCAGTTCCCCTGAGCTCTGCGAGTGCCCGGCCCGGGCTAGGCCCGAGTCACCCAGGACTGAGGGATCCAGCAGTCCCTGCACCCAGACAGCTGAAAACTGACCCACAACTGGGCTTCAGAGGGGGTTGGGTGAGGGTGGCTGAGAGCAAGGAGCACAAAGGAGGGGTTTCAGGCACTGCGACGGGTGGGGGCATTTGGGGTGTCACGTTTTGCTGCATGCACGGGCCAGCGGACACCTTTACCTGCATGCTGAGCCAGACCTGGGTTTAGGGCCGTTGGCGGTCTCTGGGCTAAGGGAGTGAGGGCAGCGGGGTGGAGAATTGAGAAATCAGGGATGATTCGCAAACCCCTTCTCCTGGCCATGGGGATGCATCCATGCCGAAGGGCGGCCATCCTGGCTGTGTTTCTGAAGGCCAGTTAGGGATGCAGGGAGGTGCTTGCTGCCTCGGGCCACTTCTGCTGGGCTGGGGTTGGGGGCCGGGGAAACAGGAATATGGGAATCCCAGCAGAGCTGTGGAGGGTGCAGCATAGGACGGGCCCTACCAGGGTGTGGGGTGCGCATAACGAGGACCAGAAGGCAGGCCCCTGCCTCTCAAGAGCAGAATATGTGGTTTGCAAGCGGTGGGCGAGGCTGGGGAGAGTCCCGAGGCAGAAAACCTCCTATATGGAGCTCTGACCTACCCCACCCCGAGCCCTGATCCCAGTCCTAGACTGAGCCCTGATCCCAGCCTCACTCAGCCCAGCATCGTCATGGGCTTGCGGGCGGAGTAACAGGGGCTGGGGTGGGCAGGGCAGGAGACCCTACTTGTCCGTCCTCAGCGCCAGCCCTCCTGCTTATCGGCAGGACTGCCCTGCGAGGCCTGCACCAGTCTCTGAAATGGCCAAGATGAGTCACACACAGTCCCTGCCCGCAGGGCTGGTGGGGGGAGTGACAAGCACGCGGGCACTGAGGTCGGAGCTGAGGTGGGGAGGCTGGGGGTGCTGGAGGGGCTGACGCTGGTCGGCCACGGAGGAGGATGGTGCGGGGCTGGTGTGGGGTCCGGGTCGCTGGAACCCCCCCAGGTGAGTGACTCTCCTGCAGGAACTGGCTGGCACTCCTCCAGGCCAAGCTGCTGGTGAGCGGGCGACTCGCATGGGGAGGGCTGGTAGGGCACTGGCCGGTAGTGTTACCTTACAAGGGAGGCATTTTTATCTGTTGCATCCAAGAGCTCACAGGTGTGCAGGGACCTGCCCGACGTTGCCCAGTGGGGGCAGTTCCCGGAGCTCTCGGCCTGCGCACCGCCCTTCAGGGAATGCCCGGGCCCTGGGGGGCAGGAGTCGTCCCCTTCCAACTCCTCCCCCCTCACCTGGCTGGAGCCTGAGGCCTGCGGGGAGCAGAGGGTCCTGGCTGCGTAGGGGACTAACCCCCCAAAGGAAGTCTGCTGCTTTCCCATCCCGCTTGTCCCCTCTCCTGGTTCCAGTAGGTTCCTCTTCCCCGTTTCCCCTCTTCTTTCCTCTCTGAGAAAGCCGGCCCAGAGAACCCACGCAGCCGGCCACCCACCACTGTCGTGGGCAAAGTGAGGCCGGGACCCTCCCAGATCATGGGGCTGTGCCTCTCATCCGTCCTTAAGGTTAAAGGGTCTGAATCACGTTACCCCGAACGCAAGCACAGGACTGCATGGGATGCAAGTCCACACCTTGCAGGCGGCGGCCCCTGACCCCCGCAGGCCCCCCAGGCGTGTTCACCTCCCCTCTGCGGGTTCCGGGTGCCGGAAGCACCTTCTCCTTTAATCTCCTCAGCAGTCTTGGGAGGTGTTTATCCAGGTGGCCGGGCCTGGGCCAGAGTCCACCCCCAGAGCCACCCGCTACGTGCAGAGGCGGAGGGAGCTTGCCTGACACCCTCCCACCCTGGGCCCAGCCACCCCTCCGCCTCAGGCCAGCCTGGCCGAGCCTCTGCAGCTGCCCCCTCCGCCCCCAGCGCCCCTCCTCGTCCACTGCCGCCTTCTGGAGCCACAACCGTGACTCTCCCCTGGCCGCCCCGCGCTTTCCGCCCCCCACACTACACTAGGCCCTGTTCAAGCTGATTCAGCCCCCGGAGTTCTCCTCCCCATCGCCATCTGCCCAAACCCCCTTCATGTCTCTAGGCTGGGCCCAGACGCCACTTCCTTCATGGAGCCACCCCGTGGGCTCCCTCTCCAGGCAGAAGTCACCCGCGCTCCCTGCACCATCCTACAGGTGCTCTCCGCCCTGCCCCCTAGGCTCCTGGTCCTCCTGGGTCTGACGTCGTGGCTCCTGGAAGGCAAGGCCCTGGCTTCCCAGGCCAGTGGCCCCAGGGCCTGGCACACAGTAGGGGTACAAGAGATAGTGGGGGGCAGGCTTCCTTGGGAGGGGCCACACCTCCACAAACCCATCCCTTTCCTCAGCAGTCCCGGGTCCCTTAGCCCCCTGAGGACACCGGCCCGCAGCCTGCCAGATGCTCCGCAGCAGCTGTGCCTGCTGGGGATGGAGGGCTGCCTTGGGGCCCCAGCAGACCTCCCCGGGCCCAGGTTCAGGGAGCAGGGCAGAAACAAGGCAAGGCCCACCGCTGGGGCTCACAGGAGAGTCTTGAGACCCACCAGCTACGGGCCCCAGCGCAGGCCCCTCTGTATGGGCTCTGCTGATTCCTGGTGGTGTGGCTGAGCCAGTCGCAGAATCTCGCCGTGCCTCAGTTTCCTTCTCTGGTAGATGAGGTGATGACAAGCCTTCCTGGGGTTGCTCTGAACACAGTGTGAAGCCCATGGCGCAGCCCTGACGTAGACCCACAGCGACTGTGCGCTGTCACCGTGACTCTGGGAGGGGCCTGAAGGTACAGTGTTGAGGGAGTTTC